ATAAGTGCCCCATGGGCCCCAAAAAAGGGGCTTCTAGTGCCAACCCAAACACCCAATAAGGGGAAAATTTACTATGGAGTTTAAAAAAAAAGGATCATTGATAAGTATAAATTTGGGTCCCCGTGTCCCGAGCGGGGCCCGGGTTGTATAATAAACCCCAATAAACCTTTGCTACTTTTTGGGGTAAAAGGTTTGCGGGCTGTACCACCGTCAGTGCTGCTGCACTGTCAGCTGCTGCGGGCACTTTTCAGCTCTGCGCTGAAACCCCCCGCAGTGCTCGCGCTGTAGCAACGCCCTGTTGCGGGCTTTAAGAAATCGTCTGCTGCTGTGTACCATGTCTGCGGGTGCTGTAGCATCGTCTGTTTGCTGCGGGAACCCTCACGCTGCTGCTGTACATCGTCTGCTGCCTGCCTTTTCCCATCGTCTGTTGCTGCTGTAGCATCTCTTGCTGCTGTAGCATCGCTGTTGCTGCGTACATCGTCCCGGTTCTGCTGAAAGCATCGTCTGCTGCTCCCTGTAGCACTCTGTTGCTGCTGTACATCGTCTTTTGCGCTGTAAAATCGCCCTGCTGCTGCTGTAGCATCGTCTGCTGCTGCTGTACATGGGCTGTTTCTGCGGGAAGCTCCTGCGCTGCTGAGCATCGTCTGCTGCTGCGTAGCATCGCCCTTTTTGCGCTGTACCCGTCGTCTCGGCTCCCTGTAGAAATCTCTGCTGCTGCTGTACATCGCCCGGGTTGGGGCTGTTTTTTTTAGCATCTCTGCTGCTGCTGTACATCGTCTGCGGGCGGGCAGGGGAGCATCGTCTGTTGCTGCTGCCCCCCGTCACTTTTGCCCCTGAGAAGCAACCCGTTGTTGGTGTGGTTTATTTGAGAAAAACCCAAGAAAAAATTTAAACCCCCGGGGATTTGCCACCCAGGAAAAACCCAAAAAAAGTCAGTGTCATCGAAGACTGCTAACTTATTTCCATTGGGGCCCTTAATCTTGCCCTCCCAGGATAAACCCCACACCATCGACAAAACACCCAGGTAAAACGGGGAAAATCCCGGGAATTTAGTGCTCATTTTGGTGAATTAAAGCCAGAAAAGGGTTTGGTTTTGAGAGATTTAAAAATCTGGGTGGCTTACACATGTGAAAGGCCCTGTTCTGGAAGAAAAATGCCAAACAGGACCTACAGTATTCAGGGGGGAAAAGGGCACCCCCCCAGGACACAGTGTCTCTTTTCCAGTCATTGCGGAACTAATAAAGGAAAGGGGTTTTATTTTTTCTTCTTTTAAAGTAAAGTAAAATGCAAAAATTTATAAAATTTTTGCAGAACAAACTCAACTTTGGGGCATTTTCCCTTTCTCTTTGTGTTTTAGGAAAATGTATTTTTAAATGTGGAAAAAATTTTTTTTTTCATACTTTTGGTGTCTGCACGGATTTTTTTTGATTTCCTTTAATTTTTTAGGGAAAAAAATTCTTTAAAAGAAAACCGAACATTTCCCTTAAAAACCAGCCCTCTTGCCCCAATTAAGGTCCTTTTGGGGGGGGTCCACGGAAATAATAGCTTGTACATGAAACGGAAAGTGTGCCCTAAGGTAAGTAGAAGTGCAAGACATACCTAAAATCTTGCTTTTTTAGGAACAAAAAAAAGGGACATCCCCAAAAAACCCCCCCCAATCATGTAAAAAATTACGGGCTTTTTCGTTTACACTCACTTTTGGGAGGAAAGGTAGTACCCCCTGGGGGGTTTGCTGCCTACCAACCCACTACCTAGGTGCTTTGGGAAATACCTTTCCATAAACAAACCCTTTTTGTTTTTTTTTTCCCTTTTTTCACACCCCCTTTTCTTCATCATTCCAAACCAAACACTTTCCCCCTTTTCCTCCTGCACCCACCCCTTATAAACCCCCAAACTTTTTGGCCCCCATTCTAATACTGCATTTTTAAACATTCAAGGGGGCCCTTTAACCCCCCCCCTACTCATACCTGCATCAGCCCACCTTTTTGCCAATAGTTTTCTTTTATTTTTCCCAACTTCCTCCCCCCCCTTAGTTTATAACCCCTTCACCTCCCCCTTGTTGTTTTTCAAATTTTCCCCCCTTTTCCCCCCACTCCAACTCTTAAAATTTGGGGAGCTACAAATAGATAATGACCGATAATCAGTTTTCCCCTCTTTAAAAAAGGGACATCCGGAGCCCCACCCATCCCAAACCCTTTATCCAAACCAAAAACATAAACTAACAAACTACTTTCTTACTACACATCAAAAACCCCATAAACAGGGACCCTCGGGCCCAATGATTGGGACGCCTTTTCATACATTTTAAAAAAAAAAAAAAAAAAAAAAAAAAAGGGAAAAAATTTTTCCTCGCCAGGCAAAAAAAATCGCTCAAAAAGCGTTTGTCCGAGACGCTTCCCCCCCGGGGGCCTGACCCCTCGCCCGGTTTTCCCTGGGTGGCAGGTTTACAAGCCAGCCCCCGCGGGCACATCCAAGCATACAATCGGGAAAATTTCGTATTAGCCCCAGCGTTTTTAGTGATTTCCCCCTGCAAAATAAGTGACCAAAGGGCCCCCCAAAAAAGGGTTTTAGTGCCAACCCTGTGGTAAAAAAAAGGGGGGAGAAATACTTAAACGTACCACAGTCAGCCTTTCTGCCCGCAAAAAACCGTCAGCGTTTGTGGAAAAACCCTCACTTTGCTGCACCACACTGCTGGGGCAAACCCCATCCCCTGCTGCTTTACCTCCCGTCAGCTGCTGTGCACCCCCACTGCGCTGCAACCCTGGTCCCGCTGTTGCGGGACCCAGTCAGCTGTTGCTGTTGCCCGCACCAAACCCTCACTGTATTACCCCGAAGATTGGTGTTGGGTTTGGGATGGCTTAACCCGAAACAATTTTCCGAGAAAAATTTAAACCCCAAAGGGTTTTGCCCTCATTCACTCCAACACTGTCCCTTTCCAGAAGGGGGCTTTTCACAAAATTTTTTTTAAATGCAACATTTTTCTTATTATTTCTATGGGGGAAAATTTAAATTTGCCAAAAGATAATTTTGCCTAACTTGACTCTCAGGAACGGATTAATATCCCTTAGGGGAGGGTTTCCCCCTTTACGTATTTATTTATCCTCTTTTTTCAAAAATGTATTACTTTTTAAAAAACCTCTTTTTAAAACATACCAAATTAAAAGGCCCCCCCCCATTTTTATTAACCCCTGGCCCCCAAAATTTTCCTACTACCCCCTCCAATCTTTTTTTTAAACCCAAATTTAGTGGGTAAAAATGTACAATTAACATTAAGTATATTGGTCTCACCCGCAGGGGCCCCAAAATTTTTCTGGAAAAAAAATAAAAAAATTAGTAAAGAAAAAGTAAAAAAAAAACCCCAAAATAAAGTAATGCGACATTAGGAAGTCGTGGATGTTGGGTTTCCACCAGGTCAAATGAGGGCCAACTTCACGCCTCTATACTCGGTAACTACGAAGATTTTTTTTTTTATTTCCAACAGAAAATTATCTTTAATTCTGAAAGAAAAAATAAATTTTTTTTTTTTTAAAAAATTTTTTTGGGCCCGAAAGCACCCTTTGAGAATTTTGGGCCTTTTGGGGCCCCGAAAAGGGGTTTAAATGCTAAAGTACACAAAAAATTATATATTCCAAAGAAAAAAACCAAAAAAAAAAAATTTCCCAAATTTTTCAGGGATTCCCCAAACAAAATTTTTAGTTAGGTTTTTTAAGGAAAAAAACCACGAATTGCGAAAAAACCCGCGAATTCAGAACACAAATTTTTTCGGAGGGGCCCCTGAAAAGCACTAAAAAATTTTTTTAAGCAAAAAATTCAGAGGACCATTAGTGAATTTAAAAAACTTTCATAAATTGAGTGTCCTTAGACTTCTCCGCTTGACAATTTCTGTTGATAAATAAACCCCCCCCTCCCTTCCCTCCCCATGGCAAAAAGTTCTTCGGCCCACCTTTTATAACTCACCCCCAGTAAAAGACAAACCCTCAGCTTGGAAAACATCTGTAAAATTGAAGTTTCCCCGTATTCCCCCCCCGTTCTCCCAAAGCATAATAAATAATTTTGCCACAATCTGAAAACACTTAAATCCCAAACCCCCATGAGATTCCCAACAGAACAAAAATTATACTATGATTCAATAAAATCACTGAGGGTATCAAATGATTTAGATAAAGGCAAGTGGTGCATTGAGGCATATGTGGAGACAAAAACATTATCTACGGAGGCAAAGAAGGGAATGTATGAAAGTATAGTAGTACCAACACTCTTATATGGTTGTGAAGCTTGGGTTGTAAATGCTGCAGCGAGGAGGTGGTTGGAGGCAGTGGAGATGTCCTGTCTAAGGGCAATGTGTGGTGTAAATATTATTCAGAAAATTCGGAGTGTGGAAATTAGGAGAAGGTGTGAAGTTAATAAAAGTACTAGTCAGGGGGCTGAAGAGGGGTTGTTGAGGTGGTTTGGTCATTTAGAGAGAATGCATCAAAGTAGAATGACATGGAGAGCGTATAAATCTGTAGGGGAAGGATGGTGGGGTAGGGGTCGTCCTCGAAAAGGTTGGAAGGATGGGGTAAAGGAGGTTTTGTGGGCCAGGGGCTTGGACTTCCAGCAAGCGTGCGTGAGCGTGTCCGATAGGAGTGAATGGAGACGAATGGTATTTGGGACGTGACGAGCTGTTGAAGTGTGAGCAGGGTAATATTTAGTGAAGGGATTCAGGGAAACCCGTTATTTTTATATAGCCGGACTTGAGTCCTGGAAATGGGAAGTACAATGCCTGCACTCTAAAGGAGGAGTTTGGGATATTGGCAGTTTGGAGGGATATGTTGTGTATCTTTACATGTACATATATGGTTCTAAGCTGTTGTATTTTGGGTACCTCTGCAAAAACAGTGATTATGTGTGAGGTGAAAGTGTTGAATGATGATGAAAGTATTTTCTTTTTTGGGATTTTCTTTCTTTTTGGGTCACCCTGCTTCGGTGGGAGACGGCTGAATTGTTGGAAAAAAAAAAAAATTATTGCAAAAAAATTAAGCTAGTACCTGTGTAGAGTAGAGACTATTGTTGAGCGAGTCAACAAGACTGCAATTATAACCAAAAGAAATTGTCTCTGGTTGGGGCTCAAACGATGGTAGGACCCGACGAACAGCTCTAAGAGCATTCTCGTACCCCTTTCGTACAAAATTAACTTTGTTGAAGAGAGAGTTGATGTCTATGCCCTGTAAGAGAACATGCAATTTATTACCTAGACTCATTTATGCTTTTATGTCAATAGTTGTGCCATATGAGACTAGCAAGCCTTGAACTAAAAAAGGTTAAATGTCTATTTGACTGTAACTTCACGAAAAAGCCAGCCAGCTAATTTTTACTTTACAATTATTATACTGTATATAAAAATTTTAATTTGACTAGAAAAATCACTAAACAATTGTAGACAATTCACAGAATAAATGGAGGTCTGAACCCATGGCAAATACAGTAGACCGTCATTTAGCACGAGTTTATTTGGCATTGTGGGAGAAGTTGGTTCCATAGTCAAGGTAAGGCAATGGTCAAAGATATTAGAAGGGATAGGAATAACACCCATACCGGGTTCTGATAAATGGTTGTTCAAATATGGTTGCAGGTTCTGAGGGAGGTTCACAGCTATTCAGGGGTAGTAAGAGGTGCCACAGTCACTGAGGATCCAGGAGAATAAGGTAATATCTCATAAAGCAAAGCTGGTAGTGCTACTATTCCCTGCAAATCACCTCTTACCTAACCTGATGCACAACACCAGAATGGCACCTCCAGAATTAGCCCACATAGGTTTAACAAAACAAGTGTAATTAGACAAGGGCACCAACTCTTTATCTTTCAATTATTAATGAGAGTAAGTAAGCCAGAAAGACTGTTAGGAGTCATACACCCTTAGTTGCTACTATATCTGTAGGTAGCTTTCAGCAGTATTTCTTCCATCAAAAGTTCTGCCAGATGACATCTCATCAAATGGCCATCTAACATGCATAAGATAACCCATCTTTTCGTTGGTGGTGTGACCCAACCATCACAGCACTACTAACAGAAGTTACATTAGAACAGAGTTAACAGTGACCTTTTTTTTCTGTCTAGGAGCTGGATTTCACAATAGGGGATATATCTGTACAAATGAAAACTCCAGGAGGTTTGGGAGATTATTTAGAATTGGTGTGAAGATGAAAAGGTCTAATTCTTCAGATTAAGGCTCCAATTCACTAAAGCAAGGGTTGAATACATACAGTATATCAAATAAGTTATTACTTAATCCAACTTTTCATTTCCATATTGAGTGGAAACTGCTGGCTGCTGCTTATAGCACAACCTGGTACTGCAGGCCTACAACAGTTTATGGAAAGAGAGCATACAGTACAATATTATGTATTAGAAAACTTATAAAATTTTGGAATGTACATGTAATCAAAGCTTCCTTCAAAAAAGTATGAATTAACTGATGTGTTCTATATCATGAAGGAACAATTCACAAATAACCCTCACTCAGGAAGGAAACATACGATGTTGATGTTTCAGTCCGTCCTCGACCACTGTCATGCCACCTTGGCTCCAGCAAGAGTATTGTGACTTTATATTTACTGAAGACCAATGTTTTTCACGTAGGAAGACTTAGCCCACTTGTACGTCTTACAGACCTGGTAGGTTTCTGTTTCTAAACATTTCCATTTACCATCTTCATTAATCCATAACCTATGAATTACTGCTGTTTGATATCATCTTCTCTAATACCACCAATATTTTCTACTCACAAGCATCAAGTACCCCCATGACATGCAAAACATAATATATAACTACTGTACGTAGTTTAATTAACCCTTTGACTGTTTTGGTCGTAAGAGCCTTTCTTGCCACAATCTCCAGTGCAAGATTCAGACTTCATCTTAGAAGCCATGGTGAAATTTACTGTCCAGTTAGTACAGTTAATACAGTATGATGCTGCTGATAGGGCAGGGTTACTCAAACTGATGCTGCCTGCATGATACATTGCCGCTGCGAGTATTTTCAAAAATTGTACAGTGGTGTGCATCAGCCGGCCCAGCCCAGCTGCCAGATGCACGGTCGTAAGTCGAGTGGACGTATGTCGAGCAGGTCGTAAGTCGGATGGTAGGTGTATACATCTTATGAGCCAGTGTTTCGGACATATATATACTCAATAATTGGCAGTTTGGAGGGATATGTTGTGTATCTTTATACGTATATGCTTCTAAACTGTTGTATTCTGAGCACCTCTGCAAAAACAGTGATAATGTGTGAGTGTGGTAAAAGTGTTGAATGACGATGAAAGTATTTTCTTTCTTTTTTGGGTCACCCTGCCTTGGTGGGAGACGGCCGACTTATTGAAAAAAAAAAAAAAAAAAAAATAATTCTAGCGGCTTCAAATCAAGCAGGAGAAAGCTGGTAGGCCCACATGTGAGAGAATGGGTCTGTGTGGTCAGTGTGCACTGTATAAAAAAAATCCTGCAGCACGCAGTGCATAATGAGAAAAAAAACTGACCATTTTTTTGGATTAAAATGCTGATTTTGAGGTGTATTTTCATATAGTATTTATGGTTGTATTCTCGTTTTTATGGTCTCATGTGATAAAATGGAAAACATTCTGCAAAAATAGAGATGATTTTGATTAGTTTCATGATGAAAATGACCTTGAAATTGAGCTCAAAGTAGCGGAAATGTTCGATTTTTATCAATGTTCAAGAGTAAGCAAATCACACCACACGTCCAATACACACCAACTGGGAGTCTGATATTCTTTCACTGGTGCACTGATATTATTTATACCATTTTTACAATAATGCAGTAGACTGTATAACAGTAAATTTTCTATTTTTTGTGTGAATAAAAAATCAAAATAGAAAGCAATAGTAATATAAGAGGGGCCTAGAGACGTGACTAATGAACAGAGGATATGTTATTTTAGTGCCAAGAATGTTTACATTGCTTATTCTGGACCCTATTTTGAAATTGGCATCTTTTTTAATTTGTGTGAAATTGGCCAAATTGCCAATTTCTGACCACTTTATTGGGTAGTTCAAATCGGTAAATGAGCGGTTTCTTGTACTCAATTGATAGAAAAAATGGAGTTCTAAAGAAATAGCTATGAGTTTGGTCAACTGGAATAATGGAATTGGCCGAAAATAGGGCTCAAAGTTGGCGAAATCGCCAATGCTTATATGTTGCCGAGACCGCTAAATTCGCGGGAGTGCAATTCTGTGAGTTTTCAACCAAATTTCGTACTTTTGGTGTCTACCATTGGGAAAAGATTCTCTATCATTTCATAAGAAAAAATAATTTTTTTTTCCAAAAATTTTGCGACACAGAATGAGTTTCAGAAAGGGGCTTGTGACAGTCAAAGGGTTAAGGAATACTATATTGAAACTAGAGGCCAAGCATGTGATAATGCTGCATTCTCCTACTGTGCTGTGGTGGTTACATCTAACAATCATTTTTCAGTTAGTGACTGCAGGTGCCCCTAACTGTTGTGGCAACTGTTTTTTGTATTATAATGTAATATTTCAAGACCATTCAGTTTTTTGTCAGAAACATATAATAACTTTAACTACTTGTATCAGTCACTATTGTGTGAAATAGTGTAATACAGTGTTACACTATAATGCTGTACAGTGCTCTTCTCCCATAAAGTACCATCCTCTCGATGCTAAATAACCTCTCTGGTGGAGCACATATTTTTGTGCTGGAAATATATTTAGTACATATGATCCAAGAAGTTTCCAAATATAAACATAATCTCTTGAATGGCTCTATATACAATATTCCCAGTTTCCATCACAGCCACAGATATACACAACAAACAACTGAATTATTAAATAATAACTTACTGCTTCCTTTACAGCTGAGAGGTATGTGTTAATATCACTTGTATTTGCTGGACTTTCTGGTAACCGTCCGAGGCAGTTCAGCAACGCTGCATATGTAGCTTCATTAGGTAAAATGTTGTCTTCTTTAAGGCATTTTAAAAGCTCTTCCATTTTTTTTAAGTTTTGCTGAAACAAAAAAACAGACAATTATGCTGTATTTCAAAGTAACAAAATACAAATCACAGACTTCAAAAATTACATTTTATATTTCCCTCAGTCATGTGTTAACCATTACTAATAATAGTTGGTCATAGGAATATTCCTGTCAAACTTTGTGTTAAAATGCTATACAATCGTCATGGTAAGCTTCTGTGTTGCTAACAGCATGAGACGAGAGATTCACACATGTGAGAACACATGGGTAAGACTGCCAACAAACAAGACAAATTATTACAATATACCTTTTCAGCATGACCCAAAAGCACAATGTTGTAGGGATGAACAGAGGTGATCTTCTGGCTAAAAAATTTTGCGGCTGAATGTTTGAAACACTGACGATAATAGAGGAGTGTATGAGTTGCTCGATTAAGCATTCCTAAGTTTACCTGCAAATAAATTAAATGAATTTGTCAATAAAACAAACATGAATTTATTGTACTGTAAAACTTAAATTCAAGCTAGTATACATGTCTGTATATTTCAGTCAACACCATCATGCACACAAATCTATTTACTTACTTTCAAAAAAAAAATGGAATAAAAGTAAGTTAGAGTTATAGGTAGTACAAACAAATTATACAGTTTTCTTTCAACGACCGGGCCATATCCCACCGAGGTAGGGTGACCTATAAAGAAAAATTAGTTTCTCTCTTTAAATTTAGTTATGTAGTATACAGGAGAAGGGGTTACTAGCCCCTTGATCCCAACATTTTAGTCACCTCTTATGACATGCATAGCTTATGGAGGAAGAATTCTGTTCCATTTCCCCATGAAGAAATTACATATACAGTAGACCCCCAGTTTTCATAATTAATCCGTTCCAGATGGTCGGCCTAAATCCAAAATGGCCAAAAACCAAAGTAATATTTCCCATAAGAAATAATGTAAATCCAATTAATCTGTTTCAGACATCCAAAAATATTAACAAAAACAAAAAAAAAATTTTTTATAGAGAATAACTAGTTTTACATACAGAAAAAAATGAGAAATAAATATAGATGACTAATTTTAATGATAAATGAACATTATATACTTTTATTGAAGACTCTTGTTGGCGAATAATATTTACAGTGGACCCCCGCATAACGTTGGCATCACATAGTGTTAAATCCACATTGCGATACATTTTATCGCTAAAATTTTGCCTCGCATAGTGTTAAAAAATTCGCTCAACGCGATTCGTCCAAGACACGTCCATGCGGCCTGAGCCAGCCTCACTTGTTCTGCCAGTGGCATTGTTTACAAGCCAGCCTCCGCGGTAACATTCAAGCATACAATCGGAACATTTCGTATTATTACAGCCTTTTTATAGTGATTTCACCTGAAAAATAAGTGACCATGGGCCCCAAGAAAGCTTCTAGTGCCAATCCTACAGGAATAAGGGTGAGAATTACTATGGAGATGAAGAAAGAGATCATTGCTAAGTATGAAAGTGGAGTGCGTGTCTCCGAGCTGGCCAGGTTGTATAGTAAACCCCAATCAACCATCGCTTCTATTGTGTCCAAGAGAACGGCAATCAAGGAAGCTGTTCTTGCCAAAGGTTTAACTGTGCTTTCGAAACAGAGATCGCAAGTGATAGAAGATGTTGAGAGACTGTTATTGGTGTGGATAAACTAAAAACATATAGCAGCCGATAGCATCTCTCAAACGGTCATAAGTGAAAAGGCTAGGAAGTTGCACGAGGATTTAATTAGAAAAATGCCTGCAATTAGTAGTGATGCGAGTGAATTTAAGGCCAGCAAAAGTTGGTTTGAGAGATTTAAGAGGCGTAGTGGCATACATAGTGTGATAAGGCATGGTGAGGCTGCCAGTTCGGAGAGAGAAATTGAAGAAGTTGCCTACTTCAAAGATTAAGGAAATCTGTGCAAAGTGGCTTGAAGTGCAAACCTTCATGGATGAAAATCACCCTCAGACAGCTATTGCAAGCCGTGCTGGTGACTATTACACTGACACTGTTGTGAAACACTTTAGGAAAGTCATAAAGGAACGAGAGGTACAGGCCACTATGGACAGATATGTTGTGCGACATAAGTCCAGTGACTGAAGCTGGTCCTAGTGGCATTAAAAGAAGAAGGGAAGCAACCCCGGAAAAGGACTCGACACCTCAAGTCCTAATGGAAGGGGATTCCCCTTCTAAACACTAAAACCATCCAGTCTCCCCTCCTCCCATCCCATCAATCATCACCAGATCTTCAATAAAGGTAAGTGTCATGTAACTGTGCATGTTTTCTTTAGTTTGTGTGTATTAAAATTAATATTTCATGTGGTAAAAAAATTTTTTTTTATACTTTTGGGTGTCTTGCACGGATTAATTTGATTTCCATTATTTCTTATGGGGAAAATTAATTCACATAACGATAATTTCGCAAAACATTGAGCTCTCAGGAACGGATTAATAGCGTTATGCGGGGGTCCACTGTATTTGTAGTCCCAGAGGGACTACATCCCAAGCGTATACGTACCTACATACACTGTGGCCTACAGCCATATTATTACCATCGACATACCATGTTCACTGAATTTAATCGTTTCTAACAACTACCTTTAGATGCCATCATAACCAAAAGGAGAAATAATAATTCATGCCGAGAATTGTAAACATAAGCCTTATGTACTATTAAGGGTGATTGGTTACTGGGCCAACGCATATTCATACATGTTTTCTCTGAAGCTGGACCAGAGAAAATGTAATGTTCACCCTCCACCCGACCATTAGCATAGCATATAAACATAGCATATAAACAAAGCCCACAGCATATAAACATTGCATGTTTATATGCTATGTAATGTGTATTTCTTATAGTATAATTTTGAAGAAAATATCATAGACAGATTAATGAATATAAGAACATAAGAACATAAGAACGAAGGAACACTGCAGAAGGCCTACTGGCCCATGCGAGGCAGGTCCAAGTCTCCTACCGGCTTAAGCCAATGCACCCAACCTAGTCAGGTCAGGTCACATTGACTTAAGGGAGGAACACGGCAATCGACCTGTTAGCACAAGCTATCAGGTCTAACTCACACCCACCCACATCTACTCATGTATTTATCCAACCTATTTTTAAAGCTACACAACGTTCTGGCCTCTATAACGGTACTTGGGAGTTTGTTCCACTCATCCACAACTCTATTACCAAACCAGTACTTTCCTATATCCTTCCTGAATCTGAATTTTTCCAACTTAAAACCATTGCTGCGAGTCCTGTCTAGGCTAGATATTTTCAGCACTCTATTTACATCCCCTTTATTTATTCCTGTCTTCCATTTATACACCTCAATCATATCCCCCCTAATTCTACGTCTTTCTAGAGAGTGCAGTTTCAGGGCCCTTAGTCTATCCTCATAGGGAAGGTTTCTGATACATGGGATCATCTTTGTCATCCTCCTTTGTACATTTTCCAGAGAATTTATATCCATTCTGTAATACGGTGACCAAAACTGTGCAGCATAATCTAAATGAGGCCTAACCAAGGGTGTATAGAGTTGAAGAACAACCTGAGGACTCCTATTATTTATGCTTCTTGATATGAAGCCAAGGATTCTATTAGCTTTATTGCGAACACTTATGCACTGTTGTCTTGGTTTCAGATTACTGCTAACCAGAACTCCTAAATCTTTTTCGCAATCCGTAATATTAAGATCTACATTATTTAGTTTATATGTGGCATGGTTATTGTCCTGTCCAACATTTAGAACTTTGCATTTGTCTATATTAAACTGCATCTGCCACTTCTCCGACCACTGCATCAGTCTATTCAAATCTTCCTGGAGTGCTCGAATGTCCTCGTCAGAATGAATTCGACGGCCTATTTTGGTGTCATCGGCAAACTTGCCGATGTCGCTCTTTATGCCCTCATCTATGTCGTTTATGTAGATTGTGAACAGCAGGGGGCCCAACACTGACCCCTGTGGAACAAACCCCTCGTGACGCTTCCCCACTCTGATTTCTCCCCATTTATGCAAACTCTCTGCTGCCTATTTGTCAACCATGCCTCTATCCAGGAAAAAATTTCTCCTCCTATTCCATGTGCTTTAATTTTCCTCAATAGTCTCTGATGTGGGACCCTGTCAAAAGCCTTACTGAAGTCCATATACACAATATCATATTCATTACCATGATCTACCTCCTCAAATACCTTAGTGAAAAAAGTTAATAAATTCGTAAGGCAGGAACGCCCCTTTGTAAAACCATGCTGAAATTCGTTGATTAATTTATGCTTTTCAAGATGGCTACGAACTGCCTCGGCAATTATTGATTCCATAAATTTTCCCACTATGGAGGTTAGGCTTATTGGTCTATAGTTCGAAGCTAAGGACCTGTCACCTGTTTTGAAAATAGGTATCACATTTGCCATTTTCCACTTATCTGGCACCATGCCAGTTTGTAGTGATATGTTGAAAAGATTAGCCAAAGGTGTGCTAAGCTCCTCTTTACATTCCTTTAGAACCCTTGCATACAGTTCATCAGGGCCTGGGGATTTGTTAGGTTTTAATTTATCTATTTGCCTAAGGACCATGTCACTTGTGACCCTAATAGTGCACAGTTTATTATCGTCCTGTTCTACATAATTTATCATTACTGGAATATCGTTGGTATCCTCCTGTGTAAAAACTGAGAGGAAGTATGTGTTAAAAATTCTACACATTTCCTTATCACTGTCAGTGAGCTGACCCGAGGAACTTTTGAGTGGGCCTATCTTGTCCCTGATCTTACTTCTGTATACCTGAAAGAATCCTTTTGGGTTAGTCTTCGATTCTTTTGCAACTTTAACCTCATAATCTCTTTTTGTCCATATTAACCTAAAATAAGACATTTAATGTGCCCAAGAGTGATTATTACGTATTAAACATACATCGCATATTAACGTTGCATGTTTATATGCTATGTAGCGTGATTCTTGATGAATGGTTCAGAGAACCATTGGGTATCTTTATTGAGGAAACGTTTCGCCACACAGTGGCTTCATCAGTCCATACAAAGGAGAACGGGGAAGAACAGGAGTTTGAGGTAATCAGTCCCTCAGCCTTGAGTCGATGTGGTCAGTCCATCGATCTTGAAAAGAATACAGCATATCTGCGAAGTAGCAGCTTATATATTGTAGGCAGCAGAGGTGCAGCAGTAGTAGGTGGTATGACATTTGTCCAGTGTGGAAGTAGGTCGTGCCCAAGGGTTAGGCAAGCAAAGAATTCCCTTCGCAGATATGCTGTATTCTTTTCAAGATTGATGGATTTAGGTTAATATAGACATTTTCATTAATCCATCTATGATATATTCTTCAAAATTATGTAAGAAACACATTACATAGCATATAGCATATAAACATTGCATGTTTATATGCTATCGAGTGGAGAGTCAGGTGGAGAGTAAACATTATGTATTCTC